TCGACAATTGTATTTTTCTCGGCCTTGCTCGATTGGGATTGTGGGATTTAATGGTAGATATGAAGTAGGCAGGCTGGTAGGCTGCTATGCTGCCGCAGGCTGGACGGCATCGTTTTCATGCCGGCCAACATCAAATGGCTTGTGTGACCTAAAACCCTGCCGACGAGGATGGGATTCGAACCCACGCGTGCAGAGCACATTGGATTAGCAGTCCAACGCCTTAACCTCTCGGCCACCTCGTCCCCGCCATCTCTCACCTGGCGCCTTTTCACCTTCGCACCCAAACGAAGGAAATGGACGTAACTGCATTGCGTGAGATGACATCCGACCAAGGCAGGTCTGATCTGACCATGTCCAGGCAGATCATATCAGATCAGGTCATATGAGTCTATGAAGTGAGGTCCCCACTCGAGGCAGCTATTTTCTCATTCAGGAACAACTCCAAAAGCTATGATTTCTACACCCACGCTGTTCCCATCATTTGCTTCTCTCGTGGTATGCTACGAACAGTTGCGTTTAAAGGGTTTGCGGACACTAATTTTTAGTTCGATGCATCGCCTCAAAACAGCATGCCTGGACGAGAGCCCATCTTCACGTGTGGTAATAATGCCGGGTTATTTCATTTTTTGTTTGTTTGGAAAACTGATGTATGAGATTTGAGTAGGTCACAGTCAGCTGATTCAAGAGCTTAGAAGGACTCATCGTTATTAGTCGCATATACGACGACACTCTAACAATATAGGTATGAACTCCCAACCAATCAAAAGTGGTAGCAATATTGTTTTATTTTGTGTTTGTTCAGCAAATTGTTGGCGCAAACACGTTCTCTCCAGAATGCCAGTCTTCTGCTTGTTCTTAGGCGGGATGGACTCGGATCAGTTCGTCGGCAGGCCCAATCTTTCTGCCCACGGCGTTCAGAGAGCTTTCTCACAAAGTCGGGAGTTGTTGCGTTCCGGACTGGACCAACATACCAGTCTGATACTGGTAGACACTTAATGGCCTGTGTGATCTAAAACCATTCCGACGAGGATGGGACTCGAACCCACGCGTGCAGAGCACATTGGATTAGCAGTCCAACGCCTTAACCACTCGGCCACCTCGTCACCGGTTTTCCCAAATCTGGCAATTTTACCCCAGCTGTGGCGCCGCGGTTACCAAAATGCCACACCACTATTGCCGTAAAGGAGGCGATGGACTCGGCCGCGTCGGATGAAGCCGTATCCTGTCAGATCAGGTAAGATCAACCAGGTCAGAACAGGTCATGTCAGATCAGTTCGTCTGCGATTACACTCGAGACGCCTATGTTCTCACTCAGAGGCAGGACCACACTGCCACGGCCTGTGCGCTAGCACAGTTCCCATCAGTTGGTTATGCTGTGGCATGCAGCGAGCACTATGCGTTGAGATTCCTGCGCAAAATCATTTGAACTTAAATGCATGCAAGCTGTTAACGTATTGTCCGCGCTGCTTTCCTAGCACTGTCTCTGCTAATAACTCCATTCCTGAGCGCTGTAATAATACGGCAAAGTTTGCACGGGTGCGGGAACTCATGAGTCGAAAGTACAGTATTATTTAAGAAGGCACGCATCCATGATAATAGTATAGCCGGTCAGTGCGGAAACCGCTGCAGCGAACCTAAAGAAAAGAATAAAGGTAAAAGGTTGTTTGGTAACTATCTGGGTCCCACCGATCTGAATGTCACGTTATTGGAGTGTCCCACCTATGGGGCATATTTCAAAAGCATCCTCTCGTGAAACCACAGGACTACTTACCTCGATTAAAGGCACTTGGGAGCGCCACTGCAGCACCATTAAGACGTAGTAAGGATATCGATTTTAGCTACTTTTGAGTAAAAATAACGTGGACAACGCTTTGTGACGGTATTAAAGTTCTTCCCCGCAGCCGCATCCAACGTCGTCATGACAACCACCGGGTTTACCTCTAACGGTGCGAATAAAAGAACGCTTGTGATTGGCCCAGCGGGCGAGGGCCTATTACCGAGAAGCGCAGTTGTTGAATTTTGAACCAGTGTGTCGCTTGGATCATGTGGCTTTCCCATTTCCATTTTCTTCGCCAAACAACAGTACACTGTTCTTAATTTTTTACAGCACATTTTTAGGTGTCCAATAAAAGCAGTGCGCACACAAACGCCAGATATGAACGGATCGACAATTGTATTTTTCTCGGCCTTGCTCGATTGGGATTGTGGGATTTAATGGTAGATATGAAGTAGGCAGGCTGGTAGGCTGCCATGCTGCCGCAGGCTGGACGGGATCGCTTTCATGCCGGCCAACATCGAGTGGCTTGTGTGACCTAAAACCCTGCCGACGAGGATGGGATTCGAACCCACGCGTGCAGAGCACATTGGATTAGCAGTCCAACGCCTTAACCTCTCGGCCACCTCGTCCCCGCCACCTCTCACCTGGCACCTTTTCACCTTCGCACCCAAACGAAGGAAATGGACGTGACTGCATTGCGTGAGATGACATCCGACCAAGGCAGGTGCTATCTGACCATTTCCAGGCAGATCATAGCAGATCAGGTCATATGAGCCTATGAAGTGAGGTCCCCACTCGAGGCAGCTATTTTCTCATTCAGGAACAAGTCCAAAGGCTACGATTTCTACGCCGGCGCGGTTCCTATCATTTGCTTCTCTCGTGGTATGCTATGAACAGTATGCCTTTAAAGGGCTTGCGGACACCAATTTTAGTTCGATGCACAGCAAGTTGGAGTATGTCCTAATTCGCCTCATAACAGTATGCCTAGACGAGAGTCCATCTTTGCGTGTGGTAATTATGCCGGTTTATTATTATTTTTTGGGTTGTTTGGAAAACTGATATATGGGATTCGAGTAGGTCACAGTTCGTTAGTAGTCGCATATACGACGCCGTTCTAACAATATTGGTATGAATTCCCAACCAATCAAAAGTGGTATCAATATTGTTCCTTTTTTGCTCAGCAAATTGTTGGCGCAAACACGTTCTCTCCAGAATGCCAGTCTTCTGTTTAGTCTTAGGTGGGATGGATTCGGATCAGTTCGTCGGCAGGCCCGACCTTTCCGCCCACGGCGTTCAGAGAACTTTCTCACAAAGTCGGGAATTGTTGCGTTCCGGACTGGACCAACATTCCGGTCAGATGCTGGTAGACACTTAATGGCCTGTGTGATCTAAAACCATCCCGACGAGGATGGGACTCGAACCCACGCGTGCAGAGCACATTGGATTAGCAGTCCAACGCCTTAACCACTCGGCCACCTCGTCACCGGTTTTCCCAAATGTGGCAATTTTACCCCAGCTGTGGCGCCGCGGTTATCCAAATGACACATCACCATTGCCGTAAAGGAGGCGATGGACTCGGCCGCGTCGGATGAAGCCATAACCTGTCAGAGCGGGTGAGATCAACCAGGTCAGAACAGGTCATGTCAGATCAGTTCGTCTGCGATTACACTCGAGACGCCCATGTCCTCACTCAGAGGCAAGGCCACATTGCCACGACCACTGTTCCTATCAGCTGGTTATGCTGTGGCATGCGACGAGCACTGTGCGTTGAGATGCCCGCGGAAAATCATTTGAACTTAAATTGCATGTATCTTTTTAAGGTATTGTCCACGCTGGTTTCCTATCACCGTCTCTGGTAATAACTCCATCCCTGACCGCTGTGATAATACGGCAAAGTTTGCTCGAATACGGATAACCCATGTCTCGAGAATACAGTGTTATTTAAGAAAGCACGCAGCCACGACATAAGTATAGTCTGTCAGTACGGAAAACCACTACAGTGCCTCTAAAGAAAAGAATAAAGCTAAAATGTTGTTTGGTAAATATCTGGATCCCAATGATTTGAATGTCACGCTATTAGAGTGTCCCACCAGGTGACATATTTTAAAAACACCCTCTTGCGAAGCCACAGGACTACTTACCTCGATTAAAAGCGCTTGGTTGTGCAACTGCAGCACTAATTAGTTTCCTAAATAGTTTACTGATTAGTTTTCTCGCGTAATAGTCATGCATAGCGCGAATAAATTTCTGCGTTCAATGTTCCTACACGTACCATTTTGTGCATTAGAAGGCCTTGTATTGTACACAGTTTTGCGCAGAAATAATGTTCTCGAAGTTCTGTCGTTGCCACCATTTGTGTTAGAAATATTGATGGTACGCTTTCAAAAGTGGAGTGAAAGATTCGCAGGCGTGCGTCACCTCCTTGGTACAGCATGCCCCACGGCTGAACCGGGCGCCGAGGAGTGGTGTTGCCGCGTAGGCGGTGCTGCAGGCGCCGGAGCACTAGAGTCGTCACCGGTGCTAACGCGACAGCAGCAGCTCCTTCTGCGACTGGTCCGCCGCGCGGTCCACGTAGGCGGTGTTGCAGGCGCCGGAGCATTATAATCGTCACCGGTGCTAACGCGACAGCAGCGGCTCCTTCTGCGACTGGTCCGCGGCGCGGTCCACGTGGGCGGTGCAGCGGGCGCTGGAGCACCAGTGTTGTCACCGGTGTGGATGCGGCAGCAGCGACTCCTCGTGTGACTGGTCCGCAGCGCGGCCCACGTGGGCGGTGCTGCGGGCGCTGGAGCACCAGTGTTGACACCGGTTTGGACGTAGCAGCATCGGCACCTCGTGCGACTGTTCTGAACCGCGGCCCACGGCCAAACAGGAGCAGGTCTGGCGGGGTGGGTGCGCAGCGGGTGTTGTTGATAGCCGATGACGTAGATGTGCCGCCAGTTCTCACAACGCCCTCAAGTGACTCTTATGTAAGCTCCGGTCCGCGCGGTGCTCGAACACGTTTGTTTGCCGCCGCCTGCAGCCTACCTCTTCGCCGGCCATTGGTGAAATCAGAAGGCGAAATGGCTGGATTCAAGGCCACTTCAGGTCGGATTCCTTGCCCGCCGTCGGTGATTGGTTGGCGAAACTTGTGATTGGCGTAGACGGCCCTGTGCCTATGTATTGAGAGGCGGTGCATGATTGGATGTGCGCCTCCGAACGGACTGCGCACAATGAAACCGCAATGTCGCTTTATCAACATGTTTATTACTGCATATTGATGCAAAGCAAACAAATCATAAGACAATATCTCACGGACACAGAAATTTGGTCAGCCATTTCCGCCGAGTGGGTAACAGTGAAACAATCTTGCATCGTATTCCTTTCATCACCTATGCTTAGACACTTCACTCCACTTCTATCATAATCATCTGCTTCGTTGTTTTTATTCTGATACCAAGCAACATCATATTCCGTCCCTGCTGTGGGACCGCGAACAACACTCGGGTAATACTGAGCCTATGTACAAGTATTGGCACGCGACATTCACAGAGTGCCATATGTTTGCTTGTACTCAATGGCACTGGATGGTTCGCTACGCTAAAGTGTGCACAGACCACCACCGCTGCACAGGTCACACTTTGAGCAACTATAACGGGGTACGTGGGCTGAGGTGGCTGCGGAATCTGTAATACGGTCAATACACTTCACCTTACACGGATCGAGCCTGTACAAAGTGCGCACGATGGCACGTGCTCCGGCCTGCACAAAGACACACACACGCGCGCACTCAGACACACATACACACGAGCCCTCGCATGCGCAGTGCGGGTTACATGTCATGGAGGACGGTCATCATGATAGCTACAACCAAGAAACCAAGGATCGTCAAGTGTGGGCTACGCCCGCACGAGCGCCCACAGCGCCGTCGGAAGGGACGGCAGTCGACACGCGGGTAACGGCAGGACTTCCGGTCACCGCACACAAATACATACACGTGCACACCCCATCAACGCACTGGCTCTCAGTTGGATACCGGTCAGAAACCGAGGATTAGGGTCGAAAACCGGTCAGCAGCTGAGGGTTCCAGCTGAACACCGGCCATCAGCTGATGATCCTAGCTGGACACCAGCCATCAGCTGATGATCCTAGTTGAACACCGGCCATCAGCGGATGATCCTAGCTGGACACCGGTGATCAGCTGAGAATCCTGACTGTACTGGGAATCCTGGTTCGCCGGGACTCAGCGACGTAGAATCCCGACTGGATACGGGTCAGCAGCAGAGGATCCCGGCCGGATACCGGCCAGCAGCGGGGATCCCGACCGAATACCGGCCAGCAGCCGAGGATCCCGGCCAGATACCGGTCAACACTAAAGTCTGCCGCGGCCAGCCCTCCTGACCGACATCAGCTTGATCAGCAGAGGGCGGTTCCTCAGCGCGCAGCGCGCCGCCAAGCTGACTCGACTTGAGGTACCTAATCAAACAATAAATAAGTGGCGCCGGCAGCAGGTTAGCTGGCCGGCTTGCTCTTGGCCTTGACGCGCGACTGCAGCGTCAGCTGGAGGCCCGCCAGCACGTCGTGGTTGTGCAGCTTCTTGCCGAAGATGAGCCGGCGCACCGAGTCGTCGTACGTCAGCAGTGCTACCATGTTCTGCAGCAGGAAGCTCTGGCAGTACTCCAGCAGCTGCGCCGCGTTGTACACCTGCGGAGAAGAAGTGGTCTCGTCAGGAACGTGCAGCAGCGCTGTGTCCACTGAAAAGCGCGCTTTGTTTCCTCACGATTCGCCGGCACCACGGGGGCTGAGCATACGCATGTCCCGATCTGTTACAAACGCCACGTTCGGCCTTCTGATTCAGCAGCGATTTCCTGGTTCGGAACACGCAACGATTTGCCCCACTGGTGACAAATGATGTTGTACTCTGTCTGCAGCAGCTCCAGTGCTTCCGAGAGGATTACTAATTGCATTAATCTTGCGTTTCCGTTTGAGCTATAATACAAAAAGTCGTTCCAAATGCACATTCTAAATAAGAATATGTCTGCTTTATGAAACGCCAACGCACAGCCCGCTACCACGGATGGCAAACGTTGCGTCAGATAGAAGAGGAAAGTGACTGCTTAGACAAATGCAGAATCGTAGAAACTTCTGAGAAAGCGCAGAATGTCATGGAAAGTCACAAAAAACTTGCACTGCATTCTGATGCTGACCAGTGCCCAATTTCACCACGATGGTTGCACCAATGTTCGCCCCTACAAGCAGCACGGGGCGCCACCTGACCATTGCCGTCGGTACGCTCCAAAGCCCCATTCATTTATCAAAACTCCAAATCGTCATATGCAACCAGCTTATTCACTAGTTCTAGTTCACTAGTACTAGTTCAAATCAAAGCTGCTTGCCGCCCCAAGTGAGGTCGCACCTTGGCGTGAATGTACATGGAGACGATGTTGTCCAGGTCGACCAGCTTAGCGCAGCGGGCCTCGCAGAAGCGCAGCAGCCGGTCCAGCTGGAAGAAGTTCGCTGCCGCCATGAGCTCCAGCACGTCCGTCTGTCCCACTGCCAGCTGCTGGCACCCGCCCTTGTACAGGAAGTGCATCACCAGCTGAAATGGACCGTCACCGTCAGCGGATTACCAAGGGTTTCGCAGATTAACAGTACTTGAAGAAGTGCTTTTGCACTAGATGCGTAACACAGCAGCTGTTTCAGCAGGTCATCCGCGGCGAAAGGGGCTTCAGGACTACGACAGAGGCGGCGGCAAACGGGTGCTAGTAATTCCTATGTGATGCAGTTGCGCGCTGCTGCATTGTCTTTCCGATATGGCAATGCGCAAATGTGGTCTCAAACGCGCCGTTACATACTTAATGCCTTACTGGACTAAAAACCCCTGTTTAGTTTCATATTCGCTGTTAGCGAGATTGGTTGGAACTTTTGAACAGCTTGAACACATGCCAGACAAACCAATGGAATCATACATCAGGTGACCGACAGCAGCAAGCGCCAGATGTGCGCGACATACAAACACCGCACGCTGGAGCTTCGATCCTTTGTACCAAGTTACGGAACACCACGACGACCAGGCCGCCCCTCACCTCAAAGATGTCATAGCGGATGTCGTTGATCTGCACGATCGGAGGATTGCCGTCGCAGAACTTGGAGTTCAGCATCTGCTTGAAGCGCGGCGAGGCGTTGATCAGGATGATCTTGTGGGCGTAGAAGACACGTCCCTCAACGCGGAACTGCACGTCCGAGAGGTCGGGGTTGTTGACGAAGTTGGGGTCAATCCGTGGGCCCCCCGTCAGCGTCGAGTCTCGGATCTCCTTGATGGCCTCCCGCCCGAAGCAAGATGAGAAGATGTCGGCCAGCAGCAGAGACGTCCCCTCGTTCTGAAAACATCACATCTGGATAAAAAGAGTTGTAAAATGAGCGTGCAAAAATCAAAGCAAAGTTATCTGGATTACCTTGTCATGTTATTATAGCACACACAATCAGAACTGGTCTTAAGGCCTAGCCCCTCCCCCCCCCCCTCCCTTCTCCCCATCTCACGCGACTGTGACGTGCTGTGAGTTAAAAACGTCCTACAGCAAGATTCTCGACAGCAAAACATGGTTGAACTAGCCGGGATGGTTAGTAAAAACGATATCTCTCTAACTAGATTCCTTCTGTGACTGCGTCAGAACGCTAACCTTGCTGTATCTGAAGATGTTGAACAGCAGCGGCAGGCACTCGTCGACGAACTGGGACGAGTAGTCGTCGGGCCAGACCTGCAGGAAGTCCTGCAGCAGCTGGTCGATGATGTTCTCCAGCCGCTGCTCGTGCGCCGTGGCCAGCGTGTACATCCAGCAGTGGAGTGTCCAGGGCACGCCCAGGTTCCGCAGGTCCAGTGTGATCTCTGCAGAGAAGCGCAAGAGCGTCAGTTTAGAATGAGTTAAGGGGTATAGAGAATGACACCCCCACCTGGTGTGTACTTAGTTTGTGGTAAAGGTGCCATGCAAGAACAGCTTAGCACCCTATCAAAGTCCCTAGCTCTTCAAAAATGTAGGACATTAGCGACCGGAAATAACATTTGTTGTACACAAGAGAACGCAATGATATTCATACGTGCAAAGGGACTTAGACCCGACCCCCTGCACTAGCCAGAGCCTTGGGCTCTAAAACGGATGCTCACGCGAGTTTTAATCACGTTACTCTCGGCTAAATGCATGATATATTTAGATGACTAGGTATGGACATGGTGCGCGACTCACCCAGATGGCCATTCTCAGCGCTATGGTACATAGCCTCTTGCAAAGCCTTGATCTGCGCTTTGGTGAGCTTCAGCATCTGCGACGTCTCCGAGTTGTTGGAGCCGAGGGAGCTGGTCCTGGGGTCATCCACGCTGACTGGCAGCACCTGAGCACAGCAAACACAATGACTCTCTTGAAAATTTGTAAAATAACTCATATCTGAGCGTGGTATTCAAAAGAAAAACACGTTCTCCGTACCAGCAATGTGAAGGAAAAACAAGTAGAAACCTCTGGAAATGATAAGTTAGGTGCCAATCGTTTTTGCGGCGGCTGTGGTCCTATTCTCGGTCCGACCTCAACAGCGACCAACATATGGCGTGAAACCAGAGACCGTACGCTTGAGTTCAAATTCCATGTCTAGCACACAAAGACGCGCCGCGGTCGGCCGCCGCACCTGGAGCCGGTTACCGCGCCGCTGTCCCGTGTGCTGACTGCTGCCCTCGGCCAGGATCTCCTCCAGGCTGAGCACCTCCTGGCGGCCGCTGTTGAGCGGGTGCGACAACAGCTGGTGCAGCACGGCGCGCTGCCCGTGCGCCGACGCCACCGCGATCGCCGAGTAACAGCCCTGAGGCGGCCGCGGGGTCACGGGTCAGGCACGGGGGCGTGACCTCGGCGGCGGGAACGTGGGCCAAGGTCATACGGAGGACATGTCTACACAGTGGGGTGGGAGGGAGACTGACTTTTTGAGGGACAGCTGGCTAGAAGTTTAACTGGCCCACAGCCTTGTGGTACGCATGTTCAAAAGGTGCACACATTCAGGCGCTTCAGGTGATGACAAATTTTTGTGCCAATCCGGTCGCATCCAAGTTGCGAGATATCCAGCCCTCGCTTCAGAACTGCATCGCCCCTGCTACCTTCTGCGCGGCTCCGGAGTAGCAGAGTGAGTCATTCAGCAGCGTGGAGAGGAAGGGGAGCGCGCTGTAGCTGAGCAGTAGTGACACAATGTCGACACTGCCAGAGGCGACGGCCACCTGCCGACACACAGGTCACGCGGTCAGCGGTCAGTGGGCGACGTGTTGAGCTCGTTTGTGGCCAGGATTTCATGCTTCAGGACGGTCGGTACATCATCCATTGCTTGACTTCCTCTTGGAGATAACATCGCACCAGTTCAAGATTTCGACGCCAAACAACTACTTTTAATGGCACCGTGTTGCAGCATTTGATGGAGAGACTCAGGACTAAATTGAAACGAATCGGTCATTCAGCTATCTGCCAATAACCCATTGATACAACCCCACTATTTCCCATTCATAGAGACGCGTCCGACCGCGAGCCACCGCCACTGCAGCGTCATCCGACCGACCTGCAGGGGGGTCTCGGTGCACTTGTCCTCGCTGAGCCGCGCGCCGCCCTCCACGTTGGCGCCCTTCTCCAGCAGCAGCCGTATGATGGAGGCGTGGCCGTGGATGGTGGCGTACGTTAGCGCCGTCCAGTGCTGCGTCTCCGGGTTAGCTGCGGGAGCGCGCGGCGGTCAGGGACGCCCCTGCGGCGCGGCGCGCTAGTCCTACGCTCGGTGGTGGGGATGGAGGCAAAACTACTGCTCTCTTTGCTTGGGTAGTGCTCCGTGATTGTAACAACTAATGACATGTGGCAAAGGGTCTTCACAACAATGCTTAAGGAAAAACACACCACAGAGAGCACCCATGCTTTAGCCTACTTTGTCACGATATCGGATTGCGTGTGACTATCCGACCGCACATGACACCCGACGCCGGAAACGGGCCGGCGCCGCCCGCGGGCGCCAGCCACGTGACGCCCCGAGACCGACCTGTGGGGTGCGTCGGACTCAGTGGCGGCGTCTCGGCGTCCAGGTCGCTGCCGGAGTCCAGCAGGAGTCGCACCATGGCCTCGTCTCCGCGGATGCAGGCCAGCATTAGTGGGGACAGGCCCGACTCGTTGACGGTGTTCACCTGCAGCTGACCCTGCACCGGCGCACAGGCAGTGATCAACACCGGCGCCGTGCCCATCAGCGGCGGCGCATGAATTCAGCATGTGGTCAAACAAAGGGAGCGATTTTCAATAGACGCTTAACAGAAGCTTAGACGCATAATAGGGCCTTCTAACGGTAGGAAACCGGGAGGATCAAATGGCAAGATAAGAGGTCGAGAGCTCGTCAGAGATCACCCGCATCAATATATGTTTCATGTATCACCCTTATTTTCTAATGTCTCATTGCCGCTCGCCACTCTATTCTCCCTCCATTTCTCTGCCGCGAGGCTGACCTTGGTGGAGGGCAGCAGCTGGAGGGCGTGTGGCACCAGGTCTGTGCGGCCACAGCTGAGCATGCGGAAGGCCAAGTCGATCTTGAACTTGCGCGCGCACTCGGCCTCGTCCATCTGGCGCCGCGGGCAGCTCAGCTCCTCGTAACTGGCGGAGCAAAGGCGCAGCCGTCAGAGAGGTGAGTCAGTCAAGACCACAACGCGCCATCACAGAGTAAACGCGCTATGACAAGGATGAATACAAAGCACGGTATAACTGGAGCTGTTCAACGTTTTTCCCGCGGACGAGTCAACGTATGCAATCCCCTGCCGACTCGGCAGCGCGCTTGATAGTCCGCCACAGCTACGGGTGGTAGCCCTTGTCCTGGTGGTGCCCTGTCCCACTGGTGCCCCCACTGATCCGGCAGTGCCCCACTGCCTCTGCGGTGGCTCCATTGCCTCTGGGGTGGCCCCATTGCCTCTGCGGTGACCCTACTGGCTTTGCGGTGGTCCCACTGCCTTCTCGGTAAGGACTCAGTGGAGTCCTCACCGCCCCCAGTGTCCCAGCAGTGACCCCACCGCGCCAAAGCTGTCCCACTGACCCCGTCAGTGGCGGCGGGCAGTCCCCAACTGACCCAGTCAGCCGCGGTGGGCAGTCCACTCCGGGCAGCAGCAGTCGCGCCGCCTGGTTCACGTCGTCCTTGTCGACGACGGCAGCGTGCCGGTGCTCGGCGTGCGCCGTGCTCACGCGCACCCACTCGACCAGCGGCGGCAGCACGATGTACGGCCGCTCGTACACCAGCTCCTGCACGGGGGCGCGCCGCTCGTGCTCGGCGTGCTCGGCGTGCTCCAGCTGTAACACGGCGCCGGGTGAGCGGCCGGTGCGCTCCGGGTGCGACAGGCGGCGGGTACGGGGTCATTGGTTAGCGGTGAGGGTGTGGGCTGTCCACAGAATATCACTGGTAGGGGAGTTCACACCAGAGGGCGTAAAGCAAGTCGTCGTTTGTCGCTGAGCGTCGGCATCCAACAGGTGCTGATGGCCTTGACTTGAGTTGTTACCATCAGTGTGCAAAGCCTTTGCGCTGTTAGCCCAAACGTGCGCAAAAACAGGGCGTACTTTTATAAATCATGACAACGTGGTCATGCAGACATTACAGGGACATGGCGTAGTCTAAGGAGCTTGGCTCTAATGCAAATCATCTATGACGTCACACTACATAAATTGTGCAGGATCGATCATATTTTCTAGCGCAGCCATTTAAGCCTTGCTCTTTGGAACGCTTCGCGCCTTGGCGCATCTACGAGCCGCACCGGCGCAGGCTCATGTCCTGAACCCCTGACGTCACCTGCCTCCATCCCCAGCATTGACCCTGCCAACATCACTCCTGCTTCATCTACCCACGAGCCAACGTACCCTCGAAAGCCTCCAGCCCTCTGACTGCACCTCGCTCCATCGCCAACGGCGACGCGACTCACCTGGGAGCAGCGCATGAAGTAGAAGAGCGTGTGCAGTGCCGACGAGCCCCAGGTGGTGGTGGCGCGGGCAGGCGTACCGCCGGCCGACAGCCGCTGCTGATACTGCGCCACGCTCGCCACCAGGCTGGTCAGCTCGCCCAGCGTACCCACGCACGTGGTCAGCAGAGCCTGGCGCGAGGGGCAGGACAGTGTCAACGGGGGCGACTCGAGGTGCAGAGAAAGGAAATGGAGCAGTCTGGTGACGGCTAGCGGTGGGAGCTGGTATCAGCGTCGGGTGTTAGCGCTTGGGTAGTCTTTTGGTAGACTGACCCCGTTTTGATAAAGGTTGCATGCGCCCAGGGATTGCAGTGCCACTTAGCTACCGCAGCCGCAGTCAATCAGAGCCACTGCAACCAATCAGGCTCATACCAATGAACTCGATTGGATGGGACACCTGGAAAACCTGTGAAAGCACGCACGTTGACTGCAGCGCCGCGACATTCGCTAAATAATGCGAAATGCAGCCAACGGATACACAAACCCATAGATGCTTAGAGTTACATTAACATCAGCACATTGAAGAGAACCCGAGTTTCGTTTTGGGGCTTGCAGTACAGGCAGTGACCTGCTGCGTAATCGCGGCGGCACGGGTCAGCAGCCGCCGGGGTGCGGACGGCGCCGCCGAGTCCAGGTCAGCGGGGCCTCCGGTGGGGTCTGACCTGCTGGGTGTTCCGGGCGGGCCGCTGCTCGTCGGCGGCCGTCAGCGTGAACGAGGACGAGCTGGACGAGCGGCCCACCGACGGACTCTGCGAGAGCGACGAGTCCAGGCTGGTCGTGCTTGGGAACCGAGGTAGAGCCAGGGCACCTGCCAGACGCGGCGCGGGGTCACCGCAGGCAGCCAGGTGAGCGCCACAGGGCGGGGCAGACGGACGAAGCGTCACACTCATTACGCTCACTTTGTGGGGTCTTAAAGGAAGACTCGATCACAAGGATAATGCTGACATAAACGGCTTCGAGACAGGGGCGTAGTTTTGCAAAATACGACGGCAGGCCAAGCAGGAAAAAATTGCTGAACTCATCCGCAACATACGTCAAGAAAGTTTTTTCCCTGATTTGGCCCCGTTTTCTCTCAACGCTGGGAGCTGAAGCAGCCCGAATAAATTGGGAAATACTTTTCTACTTTCAGCTCTAAGCAAGGGAGAGCGCTTATCGGTAGATGTTTTCATTAGCCGACTTTGAGCCCGTTCAGCTCTCGATTTCAATTACAATATGATGACGTAGAACATCATTTGCAATAGCGTACTATTTAGGCACGCTGGTGTCATAAATTGCGCAAGCCCCGAACAGCGCCAATGCGACAGTTGCATGATCAAATGGCGTGAGGAAGGTACTAAAACATGCCACGAAATAGCAACATGAGATCATGTTACAAGCGTCGATTGCGAAACAGATGGCCGTGATGGCGCCGTAATATTCACCATAATTAGTTATTTACTGCTCTTGACCTGGGTTAATAATTGGCCGTCATGGCATTTATGCACCCCAAAGTCTGCTGGACCCATTTAGATGCCATCGGCACGTATGGTGATAGCCGGTCCGCTCGCTGGCCCGCGTATTGGAAAGCCACCCACTGAGCCACGTGCCCGATAATCAAGCCATCCCACGGATGCTCTGGCTGCGGCTGCCGTGCTGGTCGGTCATAAGGCGGAGTTAGTGCACGGCGAGGCTGCGAAGGTGATTTTCCACGGGTCGAGGGTCGGGCGGCAGCAGAACGAGGGCTCGTTGCAGGGGCGGACGAGACCAGCCGGACGAGCGTGTCTCGCTCGTTCGGCGGCGAGCCACCTGCAGACCTGGTCTTGACGTCTGGCGGAGTGGGCACTAACTCCGGAGTCGACCGAATTTCGGCTGAGCCAGGCTACAATCAGTTCTTTGGATTTTTCTCGTGAGTTAGAGAGGAGCTGAACGAACCAAATCGTCGGTGGGTTGGCTCAAATCAAGTGGGAAATCACATGCATTAATGACATGACACCTGATCTGCGGTCCAAATGAAGCACTGTGATGTATAGCTAAAGCGCCATCCTTCGTGGGCTTTTATGAAGACCACAGAACGCATCATGATTTTAACTGTTGCCATAGAGATAGCCTTCCTCTTAATCGATTCCGGAATAGAATCACTAACGCTTAAGTTCGCATTGTAGTCGACTCAGCATTGTGATGCACTGCTCGGAGTCGGAGACAATCTTAACCCAGGTGCCGTGAGTCAAGGTCGGAAGAGCGCCACTGAAATCGCATGGAGCCCAATACCTGGCCATCAGAGGCTGCGTCCGCAGGTGGATGGCCACCTTGTCAGACCTGTGCCGATGACGACTGCCACCCAGTGTTGGCTGTGTGTTCGGTGTTGTGTGCGTATGTGTCCGGGCGTGTGTGGGCGTTGCTCTGGGCCCCAATGTGGCGTTAGGGGACCATGCTTGTGCCGCGCACAGACACGGTGCTAGGCTCTTATGCTGCGTCGCTGTCTCCTGCTGCCGCTGGTGCCGAGAACCGTGGCCAGTTTTACAAAATAAGACGCTACGCTCTGTCCGCTGCAAGCTATGCTGTGTCGTCTGCGATGTCTTCACAATAATCACCAAACGTGTGTGCGTTATACATATATGCACACATATCTACATACAGAGAGAGAGAGAGAGAGAGAGAGAGGAGAGAGAGAGGAGATGAGAGAGAGAGAGAGAGAGAGAGAGAGAGAGAGAGCAGGAGAGAATGAGAGAGAGAGAGAGGAGAGGAGAGAGAGAGAGAAGAGAGAGAGAGAGAGATAGAGAGAGAGAGAGAGAGAGCGAGAGAGAAGA